GTGAATTGCTTCCCTCCCCATCAAGGCAGGGAGGAGAGAAGGGGAGACGCAGACACAAGGGGAACCTGGCTCAGGTTGGCTGACCCAAGATCAGCTGGAACAGAGCCTGGGGACACTCACAGACTGGGCCACAGGAGGCCTGGAAGGCTGGGGGCTCCCCTCCTTGCCCAGAGAGGCCTGTTGCTGCTGAGACCCTGACTTAGGAAGTTGCCTGTTCCTGCCAGCTTGGAGGACATGGATGTCCTCCTTGGGCCTGACTGCCACAGGCTGGAGTGTGGGTTGCTCCCCAGGTGGGCCCTAAGGCTTCTGATCCCCTGTTGCAGAAGCCCCTGGTCAGCTGTGGTCTGAGAGTGGGGGCTGCTGCCCGGCCTCCAGAAAAGTAGGCCTGGGGCACCTTGCTAAGCACTTAAACAGCAAGGTTTGTCAGCAGAATTTTTACCACGTCTTTCCAGAGATGCGGCTTGAGGAACTGAATGCCGTGCAGTTTTCTGGGTCTGTGTAATTTCTTTTCTTTTTTAAAAAAATGGACTTAATTTTTTTTAGAGCAGTTTTATGTTCACAGCTAAATGGAGTGTATGGTAGAGATAGGGCCTGTGTTCCCCTGTCCCTCATGCAGGGCCTCCCCCAGTCTCACACCCTGGCAGACAGCACACATCACCACGGTGGCCCTGCACTGCCCGTCACGATCACCCAGAGTCCTGCTCCCCGTGAGGTCCCCTCGCAGAGGTCCACATCCCACAGGTTGGGCAGGAGCATAATGACATGTGTCCCTCACTGTGGTGTCACACAGAGGAGTCTCGCTGCCCTGAAAATCCTCTATCCCCCAGCCCCTGGCAACCGCTGACCTGTTTCCTGTCTCCGTAGTTTTGCCTTTTGCCGAATGCCATATGGCTGAGCCCTACACTCGGGCTCCTTTTCAGGCTGGCCGCTGTCCCTCATGACTACACTGAGTGCCCTCCATGTCTTCTCAGGACTCGATGGCTTTCTTGTCAGGGCTGAACAATGTTCCCTTGTCTGGATGCTCTAGTTTCTTTCTTCCCTCACATACCATCTTAGTTTGCGCTGCTATAACGTAATATTGGAGACTGGGTAATTTATAAGGAATTGAAGTTTTTAAAATCTATTTATTTAGATCACCCTGAGCGTGACACCAATGCCATGGCGTCATAGCTTATAGCACCCTCAAACTCCTGGGCTCAAGCTATCCTCTTGCCTCAGCCTCCCGAGTAGCTGGGACTACAGGCACCCCCCACAATGCCCAACTATTTTTAGAGACAGAGTCTCACTTTTGCTCAAGCTGGTCTCAGACTCCTGAGCTCAGGTAATCTACCCACCTCTGCGTCCCAGAGTGCTGGGATTATAGGCGTGAGCCACTGTGCCCAGCCAAGAACAGAAATTTATTTATCACAGTTCTGCAGGCTGGGAGCCCCCAAATTTGGGTGGCATCTGGTCAAGCTGCTGTCATGAGATGATGTTTTGTTGCTGCATCCTCCAGAGGGGATGAATGTCAGCCCTGGGATGGGCCCCTGGTCCCTGATGTGACAGCTGTGCCCCTAATGGCCCCAGCTCTTAGCACCATTACAGTGAATTTGGGGGACACAAGTAGACCACAGCACCTACTGAAGATGACAAGATTGCTTCCAAGTTTCAGAAATGTTGAATAAAGCTGCTATAAACATCTGTCCACAGGTTTTTGTGTGGAAGTAAGTTTTCAGCTCCTTTGGGTAAATACAGAGGAACGAGATTGCTGGGTTGTGTGTTAAGAGTATGTCTAGTTTTGTAACAAAGCGCCCGACTGTCTTGCACTTCGCATCCCCACAAGCTGAGGAGTTCCTGTTGCTCCAAGTCCTTGCCAGCATTTTATGTGGTCGGTGTTTGGAGATTGACACATCCTTTTTTCATCAATTTTTTACAATTTGATATATCTTGTGCTTTACTTTGCAGTTCCCTAATAACCTGTGGAGCATCGTATTTGTTTACTCACTATAGCTCGTTACTGAGGTATCACGCACGTCTTTGGGCCATTTGTTCACCTTGGTCATTTGTTTTCTTATCGTGGAGTTTTAAGAGTTCTCTGTGTATTTTCCATAACAGTTCTTGCCAGCTGCGTCTTTTGCAAATATTTTCTCCCTGTCTGCAACTTATCTTCTCATTCTCTTGACCTAATTTTTTCTTATACTTTCCTGAATTTTCTGAATCTTTCATAATGAAAATGTATACTTTTAAGCATAGAAAAAGTTATTTTTAGAGCTATAACATTGTTCTGAATTGATGTTTGATCACGGACTAATTTTTTGCTTTAGAAACATCCTTTGGCTGCTAGGTGGAGGATGGACTGAGGTCAGACTGGCACACAGGTGCATCTGATCTTGGGGGTGCCACGGACCAACTGCGTGATTGTGATGTTCCTTTCTGGAGGCGCAGCCATCCACACAGGTCTCCAGGTCTAACCTGAGAGGTCCATCCTTGCACGTCCTGCTCAGTCAGAGGGAAACAAAACTCTTCAGCCCCGGCCCCCAGCAGCATCTGTTGAGAAATCTGGATTCTGTGGGAGATTATCAGATTTCTCTGAATCCAGCTATTTTTGGCTTACTCTCTGCCTATTCCACAGCACAGACATTACCAAATACTGGAACACTATTGCCTTTTGTAAAAGACGGTCCAGTAACTAGCACACTAGAAATCCTCGGGGTCAAGCTGAAGGAGCTGCCACCCTGGGGACCTGGGGGCTTCATGTGTGTGTCCTCAGGGCCTCAGCACACACGGGCGTGGTGCCTGCATTTGTGTGGAATAGAAAAAGGTGTAAAGGAAATAGGAAAAGGAGGCAAAGCAAAAGGAAGAAGAGAGAAGACCAGGGAGAAGGGCCAGGATCCCGACCAGTCTGACGCGACTACAAGTGGCAGTGGAGGGCGGTGGGTGTGAAACTCAGGTAGCAGGTAGCAAATGCAGCTGTGTTTGATAAACATTCTGCCTTTAATTTGAGAAACAAACACTGGGGTTTGGAGAGAATTAAGAGGATGAGGAGCTGAGAGTTGGAAACATACAGGCATAGAGTGCAGTGGTGTAATCTCAGCTCACTGCAACCTCAACTTCCTGGGCTCAAGGGATCCTCCTGTCTCAGCCTCCCTACTAGCTGGGACTACAGGCGTGTGTCACCACGCCTGGCTTGTCTTTTTCTTAACTTTTGTGTTTTTAGTGAAGAAGTTCAAACATTTAACCAAAGGCATATGAAGAATGTAATGAATCCCCAAGTACTGTGTGTATCTCCCATCCAACTTCAGCAATTTTCAACTTACAGCCAAATTTGTTGCTTTTTGTCCCAACAATTCTCCTGCCCTATAATTTAAAAAACTTTTAAAATATCATTTAATTTTAGCCATAAATATTTCAGTAAATGTCTCTAGAAGGACTCCAATCATAGTGCCATTGTTAAACAGAAACATAACAGTAATTAACTCGACTTTATAATTTTTTTAAGGGACAGGTGTGTGTGCTCAGGCCGGTCTCCAACACCAGGGCTTGGGTGACCCTCCCACTTTCCTCTTCCAAAGTGCAGGGATTACAGGTGTGAGCCATTGCACCCGCCACGACTTGACTTTAAATACAAACTCAATGCTGGATACTTCCTTGACTATTATATTTAGAAATGGCTTCTTTAGCTCTGAAGAAGGGCCATGCATTGCAATTGTTTGCTGTGTCCCTCTGAGTCACAGATGCCCCATCTTTCTTTTTTTCTGTTGCCGATGGCGGTCATTTATCTTATGGCTTCCTGTAGACTGGACGCAGGTGTGACCTTGGCAGGACTGCTCAGGTGGGGTGCACACCCCTCAAGCAGCACCAGTGTCTGCCTGTGTCCTCATTCGTAATCCATGAACTCACTGGGGTTGAGATGGTGGCCTCTTGCCTTTCTTTCTTCCTCTATCAGGGGATTACTTCTACAGTCTCCCCTTTCCTAGCTGTCTGGCTACCCCAAGGGGTAGTTCAGGCATCCTCAAACTATGGCCCGCGGGCCACATGCAGCCGGCCTAAGACATTTATCTGGCCTGCCAGGTGTTTTTGCTGCCACTGCCTGTCCTGCTTAGCAGCTGACTCGTTCCAGGGCCTGGAGTCTGGCCCTCCAATGGTCTGAGGGACAGTGACCTGGCCCCCCATTTAAAAAGTTTAAGGACCCCTGGGGTAGTTTATACAGGAAAGGGCAGGATAAATTCCTGATTCTTATTAGTTTTCAAAGCAGTAAGTTTGTTCCCTGAGATACTCAAAAGGGAATTACGAATTTTATTTCTACTTTTATAGGTCTATGTTGCTCAGGCTGGATTCAAAAACACCTGAGCTCATGTAAAGCTCCAGCCTCAGCCTCTCAAGGTAGGTGGGACTACAGGTGCCAGACACCATGCCTGGCTAGTTTTATTTTTTTAAAGAATCATGGAGCTATAGATTTAATATCCATTTTTATTTCCCTAACTGATGCTCTAACGGTCTCAAGTACTTTTATTTCAGCACCCTGATCATGAGACACCTGTGTGCCCAGGCAGTGGATAGTGTTACTTATTTCACACTAGACAGGCACTTGGTTTCATTCAAGTCCACCTCCATCCGTCTCACAAATGGCCCACATTCTGGGAAACTGAGGACATTTCCTGAGTGATCAGGGTGGGAAAGGAGAAGCATTTTTAAGCTGGGAGTATGAAGTGTCAACTGAAAATCCTTTACAAAAAGCACACTTTCTGGGGTTGTAGGTCACAATCACTGGTGTAACACATGCTTTTAAACCTGAATTTCCAAAGTTAGAAACCTGAGATACTTAAGTTAAAACCTGAAATTGATGGCAACCATCTATTATCATTTCCAGAAGTTCAGGTGTCCTTAGTACCAAGACTTGGCTTAACTGAACTTTCCTCTTACTCATCCATGATTTCCATGAACTCCTGTGAGGCCCACCTTTACCTCCTTTGCACACCAACATATTCTGGGAAATGCGCCCCCCCAAAACTTCAGGGTGATTATGTGTGTATGTTTTTTATTATATCCATTCATTTATACACAGAAATCATTTAGATTGATCTATTTACAGTCTTTTCCAATTTTCACTTCCACTGGCCAAATATATTTCACATGAGGGCTGTGACCAGACCCATCACCGCTGTGCACCTGCCATGACACTGGGCTCTCACTCTCCCTGCTTTCAGGATCACAATCCCATTTTCATGGGACGTTTTACAGTAAAAGACTCAGTCTTTTTCCATCTTATTAATAAATACACCCAAACTGATCTTATATGGTCAAATTTTCAACACATTTCATTATTTCCAGGTATTGTAAACCCAGGCAACAGAAGTCCACATGCCCTCGACCCTTCAACAACTTACGACACCCCCTAGAGAGCTGCTCCTTCCACTCTGGCATGGCCAGACATTTTTACTGTAAGACAAAACTACTCTCTTTTCCCTCCTTTTTTCTTTTAAACTTACTACCAATCACGTTCCCTCTCGCTTTTCAGACGTTAAACTTCCAGTGCAGTCCCTACGTGGCTCTCTTCCAGTAGCCTTAATTCACTGAGTCACTGCGTGTGTCTTCACTATCCTGAAATCCTGCGCTTTAAAAACTGCAATTTTCTTAATTGGCTCAAACACAGTATGGCTTGGTTTCACTTGGTAAAGTTAATATGATTTAAAAAAATATATATACACACACACACATACACATTTATAATCAGGAAGAAAAATAAAGACATGCCAATTTGAAAAGGCACTAAAATAAAAAAAATAAAAACAAATACTAAAAACTACTTTACAATAAAAAAATTAAATAATTGGCAGGTTATGAATGAAAAATGAGGAATGTGCAGTGAAAAACAAACTAACATAAAGCATTCCAGTTGATCAAATGAAACCTATTAAGTTTTATGGTTTGTTTTCCAAAGAAGTTATGTTTCAATGTAAATTTTGAAATACTCCCTTGTAGAATTTAGGTATGATGTTAAAATTTCAAATTTTGCATGCAAGGTTTATCAAGGAAACACTGGAAAAATGTTTGCATGCAAGGTTTATCAAAGAAACACTTGCAAAATTCTGAGTTTTGGCAAATACAGTAAATATCACAATTGGTTGATAATGCAAAGTCATTATGAATCCAGAATTAGGAGAAAATCCATTTTGTAAATGTTTCATCTAATTAAAAATACTCGCCTTGCATGTTCTAAAAAATCTGAGAAAACATCTTAAAAAAGACTGCAATTTAACAGTAATCTGTATATCATTAGCTGCCATTAAAAAGAAGACGAGAGGAAAGAAAACAGAACCTCCAAAAACAACGACAATATTACAAGCAGCATAAAGCAACCCTACGGATGCTCCTACGCTCGCCTCACAGGAAAAACAGAACTGTACACATTTATAAATAAACAGTCTCTGCCCCAGGCGACACACAGAGCCTTCTCTACACCAGAGTCTCTTTCCGTTTGCCGCCTGACTGGGCTCTGTCCCTTGCTCTCCGGAAGCTGGGCCGTGTTTGGGGTGCTTCCACACTCTTGGGGTCTTCTGCTAGCTGCACACTGGAGCCACATTCCAAAGCGTTTTCAACTTCTGCCTGAGTGATGCTGGAAACCACAGATCCCCTCCTCTGGGCTGGGGGGTTGGCGGCAGAGAGGCTGTTCTCCTCACACTCCTCGTGGAGCTCGGGCAGGCCCCGGAGCTCGGGTGGACTGGCTGCGGGCTGGAAAGGGGCAATGGCAGCTCGGATGCAATTGAACCACTGCTGCTTGTGGAACACGTCATTGGCTTGCAGAGTGTGACACTGACCCGGAGAGGGATCTTGGACGCGAACTCTAAAGATATTTTTAGCTGGAAAAATAAAAATTGGAAAAATGAAATAATACTTAAAAATGTTTATTCTAGAGAAAGTGGTCATTCAATCTTACTATATGTGCTAGCCTTCATGTGCCACACACAGCAATCAAGCGGACACATGAAAGGAAGCCCACACAGTGCGCCTCAGACACGCTTGCAGGTGTTAGAGCCACAGGATACCTCACAACCCACTGGTTGTGAACGAGCGGGAGAATGGAACCATTTTAGTTTCAAATTCTTAATGGCTAAAACCAAAGTGATTTAGGTTTTGAGTTTGCATTTATGTAAGTACCTTTATCCGAGTTGCTGAAAGCCCCCCGGAAGGACCCTCCCATCCGCACGTCTCCGTCCTGCAGGTCCTCTAAGACCAAGTCCCGCACGGGGATGGGCTGCCGGTACACCTGGTAGGCGTGCCGCTCGTTGCGCACCACAGGCCGCGTCAGAACCAAGATGTCTTGAAACAGGAAAATGTAAAGTTTCTGCAAAAATGGGAAACAAATGCTTTCTCAATATGGAACTTGATGACCTGAAGTGGCTAACACACAGATTAGACCAACTTATTTTCTAAGATCTCCCTATGAGGCATGACTTTAAAGCTGTACATGTTCCATCTGGGAAGTTCTTCTGATTTTAGGCTACATAAAACTTTTCTTTACTGGTATGTAAAATTGGATTAAGCAACAATGAAGTAAATAATACACATCACAAACACCTATCAGTGGTAACATGACTTGAAATACGAGTTCTTATATACCAGTTTCTAACAAAGTAGGGATTAAAAAATGCAAGCTGGTAAAATATTAATGGTTCCATTTCGTTCCACACAAATTTAAGCCTTTAAATAAAAAATTAGGCCTGTGAGGCAAATCAGAAAAGTCAGATTTTAACTTTTTCTAAAAAAATAAAAAGTCCAACTTATAAATTGGGATTTTGAAAGAATACAATGAAACAAAAATACCATTTTATGGTAGTATTTAGTTCTAGTAGGCCCTTCTGTAATTAGCATTTTAAAAATAAATTTGCTTTTATTAAACCTGTTTCAGAAAGTTGGTGAGTGCTACTGAAAACTACTTTTATACAACTGTAAACTTTTCAAAAATTTTTTGAAGGATACACTTTTGTACTAAACATTATGGAACTAATAGTGTATTTAGAAAGGAACCCGTAGCCAAGATTTATGCTTCACAAGTAAAAACTAAGTGCAACTGGCCCCTCACTGTGCCCCTTTTCCACTGTGCCGTGAGCTCAGCCTACAGCCCTGCCCTGATCTAGCGCACAGGGAACCGGTGGGTGCGACGACCCAGGCACCTACGTGTCCACTCTTGTTCCGCAGCTCCCCGTGACACAGTAGCACTCTGCTTGCTTCGATTCTGGGATCCTTCTGCTTTTCGTCTAGGTACTCCAGCTTGTCGATGTAATACTGGCATTCGGATTCACCCTTCTTCAAGTTGATATCAGAGAGCACTCCTTGTATTATCAATACCTAAAAGTTACCAAAGACTTGATGGAGCAACTTTGGCATTCAGCATGACGACTCATCCTGCTTCCCCACAAGGCAGAAACATCGCATGAGACAGAAGAATTTCAAAGCTTGACCGCGCTCTAGAAATCCGTGATCAGCCAGCCCCCTTCCCTGTGCAGATGAGGGAACAATCCCAGCCAAACTGGATGATTAGTCCAACAGCTGTCTAGTGAAGAGACCCAATTAGAATCCAGTCCCTTGATTAAGATATTAGGTGTTAAGCACAGCATGTTTGAGCGCCTACTGCTTAGGGCACAATTTACTAATGTAATGGGTTCTTCAAACAACAACAGAACACGGCACTGTGCTAACTCAACATAGTAAGATTTGAGAGAATCATCTTCTAACTTTCTAAGACAACTAACTCTATAAACTTGAAAAACAAAAGATTTGTTTATTGGACTACTCACAGCATCCTCCAGAAGCTGAACATCAGGGTGGTCTTTGGGAGTGTGTCTGAGGATTTCTTTTAACAGCAAAGGGTATTTGACTAGACGACTTCGCGGGATATCGAGGAAGCTCCACAAATCCAGTTTGCGACTGAAGGGAGACTCCAGACATCGCTGGAGGAAGTCCTGGACTCTCGGGTCCTGTTTCTTCTGATCGAGGAGAGCTTTGGCTGCCAGCTGGTTACTGCAGTAGCCTTTGTAGGCATGCAGGCCCGGCAGCTGGGGGGCAACACAAGCATGATGAGTTCCTGTTACGAACGAGTGTGTAAACACAAAAGGCACAGCTATTCTTGGGCATTTTAACAAGCTGTGGACGTTCTCCTGCAGATGATGGGAACAGACTACCAAACATCGGGATGCTCTTCAAATGTTCCTAATCCTGACTCCACTGCCCTGACCCGAGAAGAGGCCTGCAGTCTGTGCTCCAGGACACCTGAGCGTCCCCCACCACACTGACCCCCAGCCCGAGGCTGTGTCTGTCTGGGCTAGTCCCTCTTTGGCCTCACACACCTCTCACCATAGCACTGCCAGTGCCCAGAATCTGGCAGGCACTGAGTGTTAAATGAAATATGCAACGGATAATTAATAGCACACAACTGGGAATTCTGTCCACACAGGGACATACTATAAACAGATTTGTAATACAAATGAAACTGTAATATTAATGAAGTTTATGTTTTTAAACAGACTGTAATTTTTTATATCACTGTAAACCTAGTTTTAATGCTTTATCTGTTTGTTGAATCCAGTTATGCAATCATGTCATATTCATCAGAAATTACAACATGGTGAATCTGTACGAAACCACATTTGGGGCCAACAGCTCACAACATACCCAGTTCACGAGGATGTGACCGATCTGCTCCACTGTTCCATCAGGCTTGGTTGCTTCTCCTATTCTTGCCAACAAATCTGAAGTATAAAAATGCACAACGACCAATAAGTTTATTTGAAAAATTGGTTAGCATGACATTAGAAGTTTAAGTTACTTGTGTTACTGTTGTTCAATACTAAAGAAAATTGAGCACAACATCTAACCTTCATGCAGAGGTATGTAAGAGTCCAAATCCCCGAATATGTGTGCGAGTTCTTCTTCCGACATGATGGATAACTTTAACATGGGGTCATGGTAGGCCTGTCAGAGACAGAATGTGTCACACACAGACAGCAAGCAGACACCACAGACATACACTGCATGCAGACAGGACTAATTACATAAAAACCAGCGTGGGTTCTGCCTGCCGCACATACAAGAAATTAAAGTACGTGCTAATCCCCAAATAGACCCAGCTACATAATAATGCTCATAATGAGGACATGTCTAGACCTCATCTAAAAAATGTATACACCGGCTCGGCGCCTACAGCTCAACCGGCTAAGGCGCCAGCCACGTACACCTAAGGTGGCGGGTTCGAATCCCCAGCTCGGACCCGCCAAACAACAATGACGGCTGCAACCCAAAAATAGCCGGGCGCTGTGGCGGGCGCCTGTGGTCCCAGCTACTTGGGAGGCTGAGGCAGGAGACTCGCTTGAGCCCAGGAGTTGGAGGTTGCT